GCGTTTTTCTGTGTTCGTTACAGTATATGTTTTACATTGTGTGTACATGTACAGTTTTGTGTGTGTTTTCAACATGTCAGGAGTGAAACGTAAACACGTTACTCTTTCATTAAATGAAAAATTAGCAGTGCTACAAAGACTGGACAAAGGGGAAGATTGTTTATTTTACTTTTTTCTGATAATCCGACCTTTTTTGCATTCCGACCATACCCCCAGTCCCAAAGGTGACGGATTAGAGGGGTTCTACTGTATGTAGAGAAAGACATTCATTCAAATAAAGAAAAATATTTGAAAATTTCAGGGAGTTTGGTCTTCAGTGTCTTTGATAAGAATAATTCCTGCAACAAAGCTTACATTATTATTCAAATGAGTCCATTTGATTTCATGACTATAATATCCCAAGTAAAACATTTATTACATACAATGATTTTACACTAAGTTTAGTTAGTACAACTAAAATTTCTCTCAAATAATACTTTCACTAATTTTAAGAAAAGCCATGGTAATTAGACCTGTAATAAAGTTTCAAGAATGAAAACTCATTACAAACAAGTATTGCAGATCTGTCTTCTACAAGTCAAAGTATCCATTTCAGGAAATGAAATATTCATAAGTTAGAGAAGATTCAAGGCATTCATTTGATGATGAAATTTATGTCTACAGTTGATGTTGAATTTTACAAAATAATTCTGAAGCAGAGGATTTTCTGAATCTAATATTTAAAGCTCAAACCAAAATTTCTGTCTGTGTATACCATAAGTTATATTGCTATATAAACAATAATTTATTTGTAACTGTGAAATAAATGGTTAATGCACTATTACAACAACAAAATATTCTTCTTTTCGAAAATAATCTCTTTTCTATAACAGTAATAATTAATCCTGTATTCACTTCAAACTTCAAATTCCTTGCTGTAAAACTGTATTCAAGTCTGACAGAACCCTCTAGTCCTCACCTCAATGTGTTTAATATGATAGTTTTTTGTAGTGTATGTGGTATGATACCTGTTTAAGATAGAACTACTGACACACTAAGTACATCATCCTTCTTTACAGGCACTTTATTTAATGGATAAGTTCTAATTATCATCATAATTATTAAAAGTGCATAACAGAAGCAAATTGATTAATTTATTAACTTTCCGTTTATGTTAAGTAGTCAGAATTTTATCTAGTTTTTCAAATTAATTATTATTTACATTTTTCTTTATATTATCTTTAATACATTTATGCCTAAGAGTCAAAATTCTGATTAACATTTATTTTTAGCTATGCTTAACTAGTTATATATATATAATAATTAATAATACACACACACACACACAATTTATACATTATTATTTATGAAGAATAGATGAAATTAAAAATAATACACACCTACAACCATTAATGTAAACTCAAATCCTCTTTTGACTGCTTTACGATAGACTTGATTTGGGAGATTGGCAAAACCAACATAACCATCTGATTCCTTTGAATGTGACATGTCTTTTACAATTTCTTTTTCTTTATTGAATATAGATTCTTTTAACGTCACCGAATTCGTTGTGCTTGTAGTTGTTGTAGTTGTATTAGATGTAATACTAGTAGAAACTGGTTGCCCATCCTGACGAAAGAACAACTCTCTCTTTGCAGACAACTGAAATAAAATTTTTGGAACAAAATTCATATAAAATAAAAATTTTTTAAAAAATAATTTACAATATCTAAACAATATAATAATCTTAAACTGAAATTTTGAACACAACAATTTAGACAACTAAACTGCAATGGCAGACTTTCATTGAATGTATGCAAAAATTTTTCAAAGAACAACCTCTGCTGAGATTAATAACATAAGTTTTGTCATATGCAGTCTGTACAGTACAAGTAAATATTTAAAAAAACCTTGTAAACATCCTCACTTTCTTTCTGTTGTTAACATCAGCAACAGTCCAAATCAGAATTCTTATAAAAGGAGATGACCTTTCAACATTAAACACCATCAGCCAAGGTTTCAAATTTTTACCTTTATGTATTTTATTGTGAAATTGGCTAATTTACCAGAGGATACTGTTTCAATTTAAATCATGTTATGTGAGCATAGTCTCATAAAAACATCATCTCCGAATATAAGAATTCTGTTTTGGACTGTCACTGGTGTTAATGAAAAGAAAGTGAAGACGTTATTTAATTTATGTAGTCTGTTTTAATCAGAAGACAAAGACTGATTATTTGATATTTTGAAGTTTATTATTATAAAATTAAAAATCATATCAACTAAATGTCAATATCTATTGAGACAGTTAAAATTGCATAACTTTTTAATTTGATGCCTTGATGAAAACAAAGTAAACACTTTCAAATTGAATGTTTTATACGTTACTCTTTCATTAAATGAAAAATTAGCAGTGCGACAAAGACTGGACAAAGGAGAAGATTGTTTATTTTACTTTTTTCTGATAATCCGACCTTTTTTGCATTCCGACCATACCCCCAGTCCCAAAGGTGACGGATTAGAGGGGTTCTACTGTATGTAGAGAAAGACATTCATTCAAATAAAGAAAAATATTTGAAAATTTCAGGGAGTTTGGTCTTCAGTGTCTTTGATAAGAATAATTCCTGCAACAAAGCTTACATTATTATTCAAATGAGTCCATTTGATTTCATGACTATAATATCCCAAGTAAAACATTTATTACATACAATGATTTTACACTAAGTTTAGTTAGTACAACTAAAATTTCTCTCAAATAATACTTTCACTAATTTTAAGAAAAGCCATGGTAATTAGACCTGTAATAAAGTTTCAAGAATGAAAACTCATTACAAACAAGTATTGCAGATCTGTCTTCTACAAGTCAAAGTATCCATTTCAGGAAATGAAATATTCATAAGTTAGAGAAGATTCAAGGCATTCATTTGATGATGAAATTTATGTCTACAGTTGATGTTGAATTTTACAAAATAATTCTGAAGCAGAGGATTTTCTGAATCTAATATTTAAAGCTCAAACCAAAATTTCTGTCTGTGTATACCATAAGTTATATTGCTATATAAACAATAATTTATTTGTAACTGTGAAATAAATGGTTAATGCACTATTACAACAACAAAATATTCTTCTTTTCGAAAATAATCTCTTTTCTATAACAGTAATAATTAATCCTGTATTCACTTCAAACTTCAAATTCCTTGCTGTAAAACTGTATTCAAGTCTGACAGAACCCTCTAGTCCTCACCTCAATGTGTTTAATATGATAGTTTTTTGTAGTGTATGTGGTATGATACCTGTTTAAGATAGAACTACTGACACACTAAGTACATCATCCTTCTTTACAGGCACTTTATTTAATGGATAAGTTCTAATTATCATCATAATTATTAAAAGTGCATAACAGAAGCAAATTGATTAATTTATTAACTTTCCGTTTATGTTAAGTAGTCAGAATTTTATCTAGTTTTTCAAATTAATTATTATTTACATTTTTCTTTATATTATCTTTAATACATTTATGCCTAAGAGTCAAAATTCTGATTAACATTTATTTTTAGCTATGCTTAACTAGTTATATATATATAATAATTAATAATACACACACACACACACAATTTATACATTATTATTTATGAAGAATAGATGAAATTAAAAATAATACACACCTACAACCATTAATGTAAACTCAAATCCTCTTTTGACTGCTTTACGATAGACTTGATTTGGGAGATTGGCAAAACCAACATAACCATCTGATTCCTTTGAATGTGACATGTCTTTTACAATTTCTTTTTCTTTATTGAATATAGATTCTTTTAACGTCACCGAATTCGTTGTGCTTGTAGTTGTTGTAGTTGTATTAGATGTAATACTAGTAGAAACTGGTTGCCCATCCTGACGAAAGAACAACTCTCTCTTTGCAGACAACTGAAATAAAATTTTTGGAACAAAATTTATATAAAATAAAAATTTTTTAAAAAATAATTTACAATATCTAAACAATATAATAATCTTAAACTGAAATTTTGAACACAACAATTTAGACAACTAAACTGCAATGGCAGACTTTCATTGAATGTATGCAAAAATTTTTCAAAGAACAACCTCTGCTGAGATTAATAACATAAGTTTTGTCATATGCAGTCTGTACAGTACAAGTAAATATTTAAAAAAACCTTGTAAACATCCTCACTTTCTTTCTGTTGTTAACATCAGCAACAGTCCAAATCAGAATTCTTATAAAAGGAGATGACCTTTCAACATTAAACACCATCAGCCAAGGTTTCAAATTTTTACCTTTATGTATTTTATTGTGAAATTGGCTAATTTACCAGAGGATACTGTTTCAATTTAAATCATGTTATGTGAGCATAGTCTCATAAAAACATCATCTCCGAATATAAGAATTCTGTTTTGGACTGTCACTGGTGTTAATGAAAAGAAAGTGAAGACGTTATTTAATTTATGTAGTCTGTTTTAATCAGAAGACAAAGACTGATTATTTGATATTTTGAAGTTTATTATTATAAAATTAAAAATCATATCAACTAAATGTCAATATCTATTGAGACAGTTAAAATTGCATAACTTTTTAATTTGATGCCTTGATGAAAACAAAGTAAACACTTTCAAATTGAATGTTTTTTAGAATATTTATTTAGAAATAGTTTTAAAATAAAAGTTAATCTACTGATAGATATCAAAAATGTCTTCTGATATTGTCTAATTATAACAGGATGCCTACTAATAGTCAAAACTAAAATTAAATACTGAAATATTCTGTAAGTGTAATCAGAAAATTTTGAAAATCATTGGAGTCAATTTACAAATTCTTATAGAAAATACTATTTCACATTAAATAAAACCTACAAAGTTTAAGCATAAAAGAGTAATTGTAATATTTTAATCTAAATAATTGATATTTTGCTATTATACTTTGACATTAAGCCATTTGAATGAATTTCTAATTTTTAAAATAAATATTTGAAATAAAAACTAAGAAATATTTTGCAGGATCTCATCAATTAAGAGTAGAGAGAAAGTTGTGAATCTAAGCCATTATTAACTTATTATTACAAACAAGACAGATATTTTGTGAGTACAATACATATTTAATTAATGTAATAGTATCTGTCAAAAAGGAAAGCTTTTGCATGGACCTTTCAAGGTCCTGAAAAGTACTCTGTAAAGCCATAGGTTCCAATAACTGATTAAAAAAAGTTAATTATCTTTTTCTAATTTCAACCAAAACTGAAATATTTGGATAAAATTATATGACATCACACTAAACATCCAATAAGAATGAAATATTACAATTATAACTACAGTTTAAAATTGTGTAAAATATTTTTTAAAAAATTACCTCAATAAATATAAAAAACTACTTTATTATAACAAATTATAATAGTCTTATTAGACTATTTTATTTATTCATTGAAGTCTGGCGAGAGAGAGAGATTTCGTAAATGTGAAAAAAAACATTTACGTCTAGGATTATTTCATTAAATATTTAAACATTAAATTATTTTATTGAATAACTAAAAATTTTCTTAAATTTTGTAAATACTGTACAATATTATGTTTACAATTCAAATATGGAATTCATCAATCCTAAATTTTTATCCAAGGAACCAGAAACAAGTATAGGTATGTGGAAATTGCTACTCACTGTATTCATATCCATTGCTGGATCTTTGGGTTTTTAATCTATAATAATCAAACATTACTTTACTGGCCTGTTATAAAAGCATTTCAAAATATTTCTCAAGATATCATCATCTTATATTAAATATCACTCTTCAGTTAGTGGTTAGGTTAAGAGATGCTACATTTAAGTTCTAAAATAATTAAAGTCAAAGAACACATTAAGTATTTTTTCATTCAACAGTATTTGTTTTATCTATAATAAAAATGTCATGCAAATATACAAAAGCTGTAACCTAAAAGAAGCTGCATTGAATCAAGACTGTGTTGTTTATTCAATCTATATCAAGAGAGTCATATTCATATAAACTGGTGGCTTTCAGATTCACAGTCAAAGAGTCGCACATCTCCAACAGTAAAGACAAAATATTTGAACTAAATTACATCAAAAAAGTTACTTTAAAACATGGCTATCCTTCATCATTATCAAGAAACTTGTCAAACAATACTCCTATTGACTTCCAAAATCAAAGACCAATGGTATTTTCAAATCATTGGGGTACATCAAAATTACAAAGAATTAGAAAGATTGAATAATATCTCTATTGCATTTAGATGCAACCCAAATATATTCTTCGATTAGAAATTCTAAAGATCCTCTAAGTGACCTACAACTCCCAGGATATACACTATTCCTGTTACAGACACAGGGATGGTCAGAATTTGCAGTAAACAGCACCCTGACCCACCCACTCAATCAATAATCAAAAAAAGCATTTAGCATCATTGGAAAAAAGTCAGAACATTACAGCACTGACTGTATTTGCAATGAATCAGCAGGTTCAAGTGTATGTTACCAGTGTCAAACTTTCACATTGCATGGGCCAATTAAATCAACTCAAATATCTAGAGAAATTGACAGAACATCAATCAATTTTAAGGATGATGACCATACTTTCGAAAATATGTTATCATTACTTGAGAAGTCAGTTTTTAATTTTTTTTAAATTTGTCTGTTCCAAATTTTTGTTCTTTAGAATATTTCTGTAACCTGATGATGGTTTCTTAAGACAATCAAAAACATTCATTTTACATTTTCAAGCTGGAGTTTAAGTGTTTGGTGGACATCATATATTGCAAGTGTCATTCATGGTTAAACAAGACTTATTTCTACAAACCAAAATATGTATAAACTACATCAATTTTTCGAAATACTCTCCATCTGTACGTAGAATCCTGATACACCTTTCTTGTAGAAAGAAGTGAGATGCCATTGAAGCCAGCATAGGACAACTTGCTGAAATTCATCATCTACCTGGAATTTTGTTCCTCCCAGGTACTCTTTAAGAGGCCCAAACAAATGATAATTGCTGGGAGCTAAATCTGGACTGTAAAGGGCATAAGGAATGAGGCAACACCTCACAGCCCATTTTGGCCAGAGTTGATGTTGTCAAATTGTGTGTGTGGTCAGGCATTGTCATGAAGAAAAAAATCTCTCCCCCAGACAACATTCCAGGTCTTTTGTTGCAAATGGCATTTTGTACGGCACCCGTAATCAATTTGGTGTAATACTGGGCATTAATTGTGGGCCTTTCTCTAGAAAATCCACATGAATAACACCTCGCACGTCCCAGAAGATAGTTTCCATGGTCTTTCTGACAGACGAAGCATTTTGCTCTTCTTGGGTGGTGGGAACCCATGATGCCTCCATTCCATGCTGCTTCTTTTCGTTTCAGGGGTGAAGTAGTGTATCCATGTTTCATCACATGTGATGATTGATTGCAAGAATGCATCACCTTCAATATGAAACTAATTCAGAAGCTGCTCACATGTCTCCTTAAGTACCCATTTCTGATCACATGTCAGCTGTCAGGGAACCCATCTGGCAGACATCTTGCAGAACAGTAAGTGCTTGTGGATGATTTTCTCAACAGTACAGACAATGTGAGTTTCAATGTCAGTGCAATGTGTCTCATGTTGGTTACTCACTGGTTCTCCAAGATAACTTGCTCAACTTGTGCAATATTCACCGATGTTAACGCAGTCAGATGAACATGTCCACGTGCTTTGTTTATCACCAGCACTCGTCCTTCACCAAATTGTCAACACCATTTGTACACTCTTGCCCACGACAGTGTTTGTTCCCCCATACTGTGCATCCAATCTTCTCAAAACTTCAGCAGGTTTAACTTTTTCCTTCATGAGAAATTTGATTACGCACCACTGTTCCACCATTATTGACACATTACCTTCTGCCATGATTGCTAAAACTGCTAAGCAGGTGCAAAATACATTATGCTTGCTATCGAAATCTTGAGATGGATAATGCTACTTTCTCTCCAGGTTTTATTGTGCTACAATTATTCTTCGAAATTATAGGCCCAAAGTCTCATTTAACCTTGAACAACCCTTGTATAATCCAGTTTCTAAGCTGTTTTATTCATAAAAAAATTTATCTTCCAAACAAAATGAATTCCTTTCTCTGACATTTTAATTTTAAAAAACTAAAACAAATCTAAATGAACAATCAAGATAATATGCAGGATCATAAAGAATTGTAAAGCTACACTTGTCCAAAAAACAAAAATATATCTAACATCTAGAACAGCAATAGCTGGCTTTGTACAATAAATCCTCATTCTCATGCATCAAAGAACATATTCATAAAATTCTTTAGCAGTTTGATTCTCAAATAAATACAGTGAGTGATCGATTAATGAACAGTTCAGACAATGAACATGTTTGCAAAAGATTTTTATGTTCAGACAACGAACAGCTCACAGAACAAACAAAAGAAGTGATGTAAAATAGTGCATATCAATTGGTTTTCACAATTTGAAACCTTTCGACACTAATGCTCGAGACATCGACACTATTGCTCAACCTGATACCGATTGGATAGTATTCCTCCAAACTTTGAAACTCTCCCTTGTAATTCTAGCCTTTTGTTTTCCTTTCTGACAAAGAATTTTTTTAGTCCCCATGAGACTATTGTGTGGGCATTCAGTAAGTTTTGTGTCAGTTTATATTTTCAAAAATCGAGAGCTTAACTGTCCCATCAGATATTCATTAATGCTTTACACCAAATTTTGAATTTCATCTAGTCCTCACATTTACATAATTTTTTTGTGTGCTAGTTGATCTTTGTTCTCTAAATTTTTGTAAGTGCTTTTCTGAACTTTCTATTTAAAAAAGAAACTGATAATATTATGAAGCCTAAAGAGTGGAGTTTCAAGAACTGTGCCCACCATAGAAACCAAATGAGATAATAGTAGAGAGTGGTC